AAAGCCCACACGGCAATGATTAATAACGCTATATAGTAAATGCAAAATATAGTGACACACACACACTCTAAAAATGTCATGCCGAGAATGCTAAGAATGTGTGGGATAATTCCCATTTCTTCATTTTTCTCTTTATTTCATTCCCTCTTATTATAACTTTCTATTCTATGCTAGCGATTTTACTAGAATGCTCCCATATGTCGAATATAATTAAACCAGGCAAACAAACAGAGCTAGGAAAAATGCATGATATTTGTGGATGTTCACGGCTACGCATAGATTTACAGTGCTTGGCATTATCTGTCAATTTAACCCACTCCGGCTGCTCCATTTTTTATCTTGGACCGTTCACTTACAATTCGACCTTCTAATGGCCGTTACTTATCATTCGCACCTTGTTGAGCAACATCTTGACTCGTGTATTCCCAAGGCAGCAACATGACAAAAAGACGCACCGTTGTTTTTTGTAGATTCGTTCCAGTGCAACAAAATGAACTTTTTTCAACCCTTGTCCAATGTGATGTTCATCGACTGGCGGAGCTCTGTTGTATTTATCATTTATTTCCTCCACTACGTCCTTTCCTGCACAGACAGCTTCCAGGCGAACAAAAGAACCACTTTTCGTAGAACTGAAATTCAAATTTCTTGGTAACATGGTCAAAATGCTGCTTCAATGTCACTGTGAAATCGAAGTAATGTTATTCCTGTGTAGTCGTTAATTCGTTGCCTGGTTCTCCAACAGTGCTGCTAGTAGTTTCTTCACTTTGACCAATGTTGCAATGGTTTGACCAGTGTTGGTGAATTTCACTTTTCTAGCATTTCGCCACTCTTACTTTGACTATTAACAAATTTATTATGCTTTTTTTTGCAGCTACGCAATGCGGAAAACGCATATTGACGAGCGGTTGTCTATGTGTGTGTGTGTCTGTGTGTGCGCACGACCTCTGCAGCGATTTTTCATCTCGAGACCTGCAAAAGGTGCAGGGCTGAAACTTTGGGGACTTAATCTACAGGTACGTACGGGCTCCTATCCCCA